CATTCGACACACACTAGGTCATTTCGGGACTAACTAGCAGTTGAAGGAAACCCACGAGGTTGGACAGGCCACCCCATTCACATGCAAGCGGGGAGTGGGGAATGGAAACCACGCCCCCACTCCCGCAGATACATCGGATTCATAGAAGCAAACGGTTGTGCATTAGGGTTGTATCTAGGTTTAGTCGTCGCCCGATAGTACTCGACCGGTAACACCTTATCAATGATTAATATTACCGCGAGTGCAGTCCTTCACGTTTAAGGAGAGCTTTCGCTCCTGCTCCTCTCGACGCACGTCGGCTTTCCTTCAAAGGAGTCGTTAAAGACTCCTGCAAATTAGCTAAATTGCTCTCCTAAATATTGAGATTAATAAACTACTTTCAGTTTTTGTTTACTTTTAAACTGCATATATTCAAGGTATCAGGAGCTTTTTATGGCTCCCGCACAATTTTATGAACATGAAGGACTGCGAGTGGGGTGGGGGAGTGCGTCGATCGTAGTATGCGAAGGTCTAGAAACTAAAACAAAATAATATTCATATCTAAAGCTGACTTTTATTACTGGTACTGATATAATAATATGTGTGAGTCATGTAATGTTATTCACTGCATAAAGGGAAATACAGGATATAATAAAGCCAACATACTATTCAAAGACTATGATAACCACGTGAAGTGCATATCAACATAACATATGGACGAATGCTTCTCTCAATAATGAGTGGCCAACGGTGGCTGAAATTACATACATGAGCCACTAGTCAGCTAGTAACTCACAATATGAATAAAATAGAAATATGTCAGCTTTATAATTATTTATAGTTAGTAACTCACAATATGAATAAAAGAGAAAAATGTCGGCTTTATAATTATTTATAGTTAGTAACTCACAATATGAATAAAAGAGAAATATGTCGGCTTTATAATTATTTATAGTTAGTAACTCACAATATGAATAAATGAGAAATATGTCAGCTTTATAATTATTTATAGTTAGTAACTCACAATATGAATAAAGGAGAAATATGTCAGCTTTATAATACATGTACGTTATGGTCTCAGACTAGTAAGTATTTCCCCTTATTTCGCGAATGTAGTACGGCTTATAAATAGACAAATTTTCCATTAATTTTTTCTCCCATCTTCCTGCATTTTTGGGTTGACTTTTTGGTCTATAATTGATGAAAAGGGGTCAAATATGCAATTTCATAGCAATGCTGATGATATTAAAGCGGGGGAACAGGGGGTGTAAAGTGTCTTTCTGCAGAGCAATCATTGTGTCGGAAGTGAGATTTTGACCCAAGTCAACACCAAATCCCCCCGTAGCAAAAAATCTAAATGGTCAACCCCCTACAAAATTATGATGGGGAGATTGCCAAATGTGTTCCCCATTGTGCCCATAAAGATTGGAACCAACGGAATGTTGAGCAAAGAGCTACAGCCTGTGATGTTGCAGCCATTTAACATTGAAGTCAATGAGCAAATAATTGCTAGTCTGAGACCTGACCCCGAATTCACAAAACATTCTCAGACTTAAGTTAAGAATTTACTCAACTTTCAATCACTGTCCATGAGAAATATCTTTGATCCAGAAACACAGAAATGTGTACATAGTTTCTTATTTGTGTATTTGATATATTACAACACCAACAGTTTCTAAAAGGCTATATTTCAGTTAAAATAGGGCGAACAATTTTGAGTAAATTCTTAAACTTAAGTCTGAGAATGTTTTGTGAACTTGGGGCTGGATAGTAACTCATAATATGGATCAAATACCAGAGAAAATAGTCAGCTTATAAATTACGTTATAGTTAGTAACTCACAATTTCAATAAACTACACAACAATACTGAATAAAGGCGTAAACAATTGAAATAAAAGTATGATGATAATAAACAACATTAATTATTATTAGAAACGTATATACAAGTAAATAAGTAGGTAATCTTTTATATAGGTACAAATACACAATACTATTGAATAAAGGCATAATAGGTGTAATGATAATAAATTATTGTCAAATCATTTTTTGCTGGACTGGAAAGTAACACCACACTTACATCAGTTTAATTTCCAAATATAAAGAAAAACAAGTTCTCATAAACGCCACTTCTATAATGTAACACGGTTAAATAGAGAATCTCCTACGAGTCTTTTTTATCAAAAAATGTCAACACAAGTCGATAAAGTAAAAAAACGAGGCTCTGCAGGTTTTGTTTTTGGGTTTTTTTTATCGACCATTGTTGATATTTTTTAATATCAAAAAAGACGAGTAGAAAATTGTATTTATAACCCAATCCTTTCTTACATGCACAAATAAATAAATATAATTCATTCTTTGCTATAGATTTCACTTTTACTGAACCTGGTTACATTGCAAAGTTCTTAATATTGACCCAGTGTTTCTAACAAGGTAAATTAAATAAAAATAGTTCATTTTTAATAAAAAAAAAAGAAGTTACTTTTAATAAAAAAAGAAAGTTACTTTTAATAAAAAAAAAAGAAGTTACTTTTAATAAAAGGTGAACTGTTCTTTAAAAATAGTTCATTTTTAATTAAAAAAAAGGAAGTTACTTTTGATAAAAAGGAAATTACTTTTAATAAAAAAAGAAGTTATTTTTAATAAAAAAGAAGTTACTTTTAATAAAAAAGAAGTTACTTTTAATTTAAAATAAAAAAGTTACTTTTAATTTAAAATAAAAAAGTTACTTTTAATAAAAAAGAAGGTTACTTTTAATAAAAAAAAAGTTACTTTTAATAAAAAAAAGAAGTTACTTTTAATAAAAAAGAAGTTACTTTTAATAAAAAAGAAGTTCATTTTAATATCTACGGAAGCGTATAGGGGTCATGCAAAATTTTGTAGAAGGTCTCGAGATCCTGCGATCCTGTGATACTTTCTCGAAATCCCGTGATCACCTGGTAATTTTCTCGAGATCTCAATTTAATGTTCTCGAAATCCCTTGATAATTTTCCTGGGATATTGACATCCTGTGTAAATTTTCTCGAGAATTCGAGTTTATTTTCTCGAGATATTGACATCCTATGTAAATTTTCTCGAGATATTGACATCCTATGAAAATTTTCTCGAGATCCCGAGTTAATATGAAACCTTATATGAGAGTTTCTCCACGTTGTGAAGCAACCATTGTCCAAATACTTCGTACCAAATTTGATAAAAAAAAATACACTAACATTTGTTACAAAGGAAAGCTGCTAACTAATGAAAGAATAAACGGACAATCCAAATCCGTATACCCATGATTTACACTAAATTTGAAATATGATTAAAATCGATTGGGTTCTTCGTCTTATGGCCCCAATACTTCACACCAAATATGAAATTCAAAACCCTACCACGTTAGCTTTAATGTGTAAAGCTTTGAATTACAGACTTGCTTGTTAAATTATTTCAATTTAATGTGTAGGAGACGTTTAATTGAAAATGTCATATTTTGCATGGTTTTCGGACCATATTTTGTTTTAGAATAAAGCTAGACAGAGAGTTTATTGTCTTGTGGTACACATGCTTCGGAGCAGATTTTAAATAATAAATCTGGAAAAACTATGGGCTCTAACGCGTTCACAAGGTTTACCGGAAAATAGGAATAACGCCATAACAAAACTTCAGGGAGCGCGGCAAATCAATAAAGTTCATTGTTCCGCCGAAAATAAATAGGGTTCCTCTACTTGTGACACTAATGATTCAAAAGAAATTTAAACGATAGTCACGCAAAGTGTGGAGATACGCCCACGCAGCATCTATGCATCAACAGCAGACTATTCGAAAGGAAAACTTGGTTGTTTAATAAATTGTATAAGGGTCTAGCATTCATTAAGAAATCTAATCTCTATCGTGTTCGCGTGCTTGTTATATATCTCTCTGGGACAGAAATCTTATATTGCTGAAAATTAACAGGGGTTATCCTTGTAGCGGAACACTGAAAATCGAAAAATCCGTTAAAACACAAAATTTGAAACAAAACCGTTAAAAACTGTAGGCTCTATCGTGCTATTAAGGTTTTAGGGAAAGTGTGGGGGGGGGGGGGGTAAACACCGAAACAACAGGTTGTGGGGCACTGAGAATACGTTAAAACTACGCGCACACATAAAAATACCCGAGATTTCGAGAAAATTTACACAGGATGGCAAGATCCCGAGAACATTAACTCGAATTCTCGAGATCGTTAACGCTGGAAGGGAGATTCTCGAGAAATTTATTAGGGGATTTCGAGAACATTAAATTGAGATCTCGAGAAAGTATCACAGGATCGCAGGATCTCGAGGTCTTCTACAAAATTTTGCATGACCCCTATACGCCCCCCCCCCCCACAAGCTGTCGTTTCGGAGTTTAATCCCCCCCCCCTCCCCCCACACACACTTTCCCGAAAACCTTAATAGCACGATAGAGCCTACAGTTTTTAACGGATTTGTTTCAAATTCCGAAATAGGCCGATTTAGCTCTCATGTGCACATAATGCATCTTTAGTTAAATGTTATTAGTTATTAAAATATATACTTATGTAGGTCAAAGGCTAGAGAACAATTGGACATTTTGAAGGTTTTCTCATTGAATGGTCCAAACCTGAAGATACAGCATTACCCGTTGCAACTGTGAGCTTAACCACTTGGCTATATCAACCCTCGGTCCGTGATGGCGGTGACATCAAAGATGGTTATTAAATTAAAAATTTAAATTAACATTCCTAGTCAACGCCGGAATTGAACCCCGGACCGCAATAATCGCACACCCACGATGTTTCTATTAATTGCTAAAATGTTATTCTTTTTCAAAAGTATGCCAATTTCCATTCGAGGACTTCCAATTAGCTAACCACTTTGGGTTGTGTTTGATGCATTGTGAGCATTTGGGAGAGTACATTATAACCAAATCTACTATACATGTTTTTCAAACCCTCAAGATGAACAAAATAGTTTATTTTAAACCTTCGTTTATAATGGGTAGCATAAAATATAAGCCTGTAAAAGAGTTACTGTTTGATGGGTATTGTTAGCCTCTCTACGTGGCTTTGTCTGGTGTTTACTGCTGTATACCTGTCACCTCCACTTCACAAAGAGAGAGATACTCTGTTGGCTTGGTTATCCTGATATACCTGCCCACTGTTTTCTGATCACATTCGAAGGTTCTCACGGTACGTCCAAAAAATCCAGGTAGAAATGTACATAGTTTAGACGGTGCGGTGACGACAGATGGATCAGATGAATCAAATGGATCTTTATCATATACCATTACACTCACATCAACCAATAATTTATCTGAAGCTGAAAGAAATCCCAATTCAACTACAGATGCAATCCATCTTTCCCAACCGCCTCTAATAGCACAGCATGCACCACGCCTCGGAATCCGGTTTCGCTCGCCTCTTTTAGGATCAGGCCGAAGTGAAAAAGCAACACCTAACTGATTCCAGGCCCGTAACTAGGGTGGGGGTGGGGGGGGGCGAAGCCCCCCCCCCTGCAAAAAGTTTCGCCCCCCCCCCAGCCCTGTGAAAAATGTTTCGACCATAAATAATAGATATAATTTGTCCATCATTACTATAACCCCCCTGAGAACAATTCCCGACCCGCGTGTTGCTATGATTCCCTGTTTTCACAATGACCCTTCTACAACAACTAATAATTAATGATACATTATGGGAGATCTCACTATAATAGTTAAAAACTAGATAATGTAAAGGGATTTGCTGAAACTTCGAGAATAACGAACAACAAACTGGCTCGTTGTTCGTTAGTCAACAGATATGGAATTAGTTATGTATTAAAGACGCCTTTATAGGGAATACGCCGGGAGTGGGTTTTTATGAGCCTATTTGGTTTATAACACGTCAAAGTCTAGGGAAATAGATTCTAACATTTTGTCTTTCTATCCGAATAACGACATGTTTCACATTGGCAGATAACGGACAACGAGCCAGTTTCTTGTTCGGTATTCGCGAATAACGCGTAACGAGCTAGTTTGTTGTTCGTTATTCAACATATATGAAATTGGTAATATAATAGAGTAACTTTTATAGACAATAAGTCATGAGTGGGGTTTTATGAGCCTAATTAATTTATAACTCTTCAAAAACGTTAGTTTGTTGTTCGTTATTCAACATATTAGTAATATAATAGAGGAACTTTTATAGAAAATACGCCGGGAGTGGGTTTTTATGAACCTAACTGGTTTATAACACTTCAAAGTCTTTGGAAATAGATTCTAACAGGTTGTCTTTCAACCCGAACAACAAACTGGGTCGTTGTTCATTATTCGCCAATATGAAACAGCTTGTTGTTCGGGTAGAAAGACAGGTTGTTAGAATCTATTTCCCAATATAAAACAGCTCGTTGTTCGGTAGAAAGATCGGCTGTTACAATCTATTTCCCAAGACTTTGAGCTTTTATAAAACACTTATAAGGCAGTCATAATAACCCACTCTCGGCGTATTCCCTATAAACATATTTTTAGTATGTTTTCGTGTCCCGCCATACAATCGAATCACGTGATAGCAAATAGACCTTTCAGGGTAACCGATTTTGAGGCTTTTACATTTGTTGTTTATAGACGTGTTAAAACTGACAAATGCATTCCTTCAAACAGTCTGTATTTCAGAAATTCCACTTCATTGACATACATCGGTATCATGATATCTGTTAGATATAGTCATACATAATTATATTTACTTGTCAACATGGGTCGTGGACTGGTGCAATACATGCGTTCCATCAGCGCAGGGGCGGATCCAGAGGCTCAGCTACAAATTGCAAAACAACGCTTTTTTTTAGATAAGTGGTACGGTCGTTATTGTCAGATGGTGGGATGGGCATTTAAAGCGCGAGATAATTATATAAGCATATGTGATATCACAGTTACTGCTTTGCATCAATTAAACTGAATCACAATGTAATCGTATTAATTCATAATAAAAACTGACGTCAAACGGAGACGCCCTCCGTGTGTATATATATGCACAAAATGGCGATAGAGACCATGTACTTCTTAAAACTGTTCAAGGCCGGGGGATGGGGGGAGGAGACGCCCCCCCCCCCCCAAGATACATCGTCTAAGATACCCCTCCCCACCTCCAGCGGATAAAAGTCCTGGATCCACCCCTGCAACGATAATACAATATGAATTGCTACAGTTAAATCTTAAAGACGAAGCTAAGTTTATATAATGACTTACCGGTCTGATCATATCTGTTAGATATAGTGACACTCGTGATATCATACATCCATTCTAGATCTACTTGCCACCACGGATTAAAGTCGGCGTTTTGAGTCATTATACAAGAATCGTTAATACCCCCATCCTTGTTTCCGTCAACGGCCTTACTAGCGGGAATAACTATATTACGACCCATTGAGCTTTGTTTGGTTGGTTTTCCTAAAGCAATGTTGCCACCCCCTGAAAAAAAAAAGAATTTAAAAAGTATAACTGTCTGAACTTATTTCCATTAAAGTAAACGTTTCTGCTCCTCGACCATCCGATTTAATTGCACTCGTTTAACACTGAACAGGGTAAAAGATGATCCCTTTATATGAGTATAATAATTGTAAATTTATGTTCAGGGCAGATGTACAAAAGGATATCTTAAAAATTCTGTAGTATTGACATGGTTACTAATCTTAGGAATTTTGAACGAAACATCTGACCCGTGCAACATCTATAAGGCTTCTTTGAATGGGGCGAATATAAAAAAAATCAGACCAGTACAAATCATTTGAACGATCGTCAGTGTTTGGTGCCAGAGGCAATAACTCTGTAAGGAATTGATTCGTCTTTAAAATATCGACTGGTTTCGTCATAGGGACTAGCCGTGTAATCGTAATATGTTCCAAATCAAAATCGCCGAAAACTCTTCACTTTTGCGTGTTTATACAAAATATTACATCTATGAATGTAAAATTAAACATAATTTACGAAATAAAGATCAATACTTTGAATTGTTCGAAACTGCGTCAAATTTAAGACATAAATGGATTTTTTTGCTGGAAACAAGACATCTTAGACAAATAGAAATAACATTTAAGTATATCGTATGCAACCCTTCCCCTGAACATTGGGCAACACATGAATAGCCTGATGAAATGAAATGGGGTTTAACGTTCTACTGTTTTACCCCGAACTGGGCTAATGAAGACGGGTCTACGCCATATAGTGTGCTATGAGGGAAATTTTGCCCGGACAGCGGCACTACGGCCTATTCTTTTTTTGTACCACCGAATGCTTAGACAGCTGTTCTCCGTTAAATAATTAAGAATATACTGTGTAATTATATATCTTTATAAAGAGGATATTCTGTAGCTAATTATTAATTATCATTTCCTAATATCTGTGGTTTAATGGTCGAGTGACGTTAGTGATGAATTGTTGTTTCAATATATTACACAATGTCTTAATCTCGAGACCGACAATTAAAAAACTTGCACGTACTTTGCAATGAAATACGTCACACGGGTCCAAAATGTTAACTAGTATAAATAATGTACCCTTGACACATTGCCCGTACCCATTGTCCGTACCGTTATTTGAAATAATAATACACCAACATAAAAGGATGACGTCACATGTATATTTTTATTGTTTTCTCTAATGGTAGGCCATATATTGTGACAAAGATACCATATGCTTGTTAAAACAAAAACAAAAATATGTTATATTCCCGATTAAAATGTGGACCTAGACAACTGAAATTAAAGTGTAATATGGTTGTTTTACCTGGTATTTTTTTACATTCATATCTTTGATTACAGGTGTCACTGGTTTCATTCACTGAAACAAAGTTTAAAGATCACTAGAAGAACTCCACGAGTTGTTTTTAAATAATGTAAGTAATTATGTCAACATATTCTTTCCATAAGTAAAACTCGATCCCGAACATCAATGTTACAAGCCACAGGTAAATTTCAACGTTAGCGATTTCCGCCGTTCTCCGTGAGTAGTCGTAACTCTCCACCTTTGAACAAGTCGTGGCGCAATTTTAGTCCAACTCATATTCTAGTTTATTTTTCTATGAGCATGACCAGGGGCGGATTGGGCCCGGGCACGGGCTCCCATGTCGGAGCAGCCTCTTTTACTGACCGCTGAAAAATGAACCCCAAATATGCGATTTGGTGGCATATCTGATTTTAATCTCTGTCAAATAATATATCTCATAAATCGATTAATTTAGGCCAAAACCCCGACCTGCAAATAATTTACAACCATCAGCCTGTGAAATTATCATATCGTCATATTATGCAGGATTCCGAATTCCGGCCCACACCCAGCACACCCGGCCCAGAAAGTCTATTATACCAGCCCATTCCAGACTCCAGTGATGGCGTGGCGGCCCGTTAAAGCCACCGGCCACACACAACATGATCATCATCGCTCCATCGCCGGGCCAATACACCCCTCCCCCCCCCCCCATATAATGTTCAGCAGAAAAGGTTTTTTTTAGACGAATTGGACAAAATTATTTTTTTCATTTTTTGTCCGACCGGCCCGATCGCCCGATGGCCCAATCCGCCCCTGAGCATGACTATACTTGCGCCACGGCTTGATTATTGGTGCAAGTTACGACCACTCACGGTGAACGGCGGAATCGCTTACTTGGACTTTTACCTGTGGCAGGTAACGCTGACATTGATATGTTGATATAATTACTTGCATTAATTAAAAAAGAATATGAATCTTTTCCCATTACCTTTAATTATGGTCAATAAAAATAAAGTATATTGTTGATTAGGTAATCAAATCCAAACAAGCCAACAGTGAGGCTGATGTCCCCCGCCGAAATTGCAAAATAAATAGATGACACATATTAATTAATCGCACATTTATTTTTTTCACTAAGTTTCATCACTCTCTATCAGATAGAATCAAGATTATCTTGTCCCAAACCATCGACAAATGAAATCGATTAGCTCTGCTTAGCTTCAGCTCGAAATGTTAATTATTGAACTCAGTCAAGACATTCACCTAATGAACATCTACATATACATCAAGTTTAAACATTCACCTAATAGACACCTATGCCAAGTTTGAACATTCTACCTCAATTAGAAGGAGAGTTATTGTGTTCCAAAGTTTCTACCAATCAAATTGCTTATCACTCTGCTTACCCTCAGCAAAAAATGTTCATTATCGAACTTAGTTAAGGTATTCATATAATAAATCTATACACCAAGTTTCATCAATCTCACTTAATTAGAACTAAAGTTATCGTGTCCCAAAGCATCAACCAATCAAATTGCTTATCTCTGCTTACCCTAAGCGGAAAATGCTCATCTTCGAACTCCATCAAGGCATTGACCTACTCAACACATACACCAAGTTTGAACATTCTAGCTCAATTAGGAAGAGAGTTATCGTGCCCCAAAGTATCAACCAATCAAATTGCTTATCTCTGCTTACCCTAAGCGGAAAATGCTCATCTTCGAACTCCATCAAGGCATTGACCTAATAAACACATACACCAAGTTTGAACATTCTAGCTCAATTAAAAGTTATCGTGTCCCAAAGCATCAACCAATCAAATTGCTTATCTCTGCTTACCCTAAGCGGAAAATGCTCATCTTCGAACTCCATCAAGGCATTGACCTAATCAACACATACACCAAGTTTGAATATTCTAGCCCAATTAGGAAGAGAGTTATCGTGTCCCAAAGCATCAACCAATCAAATTGCTTATCTCTGCTTACCCTAAGCGGAAAATGCTCATCTTCGAACTCCATCAAGGCATTGACCTAATAAACACATACACCAAGTTTGAACATTCTAGCTCAATTAGGAAGAGAGTTATTGTGTCCCAAAAAGTGTGACGGACAGACAGACGGACAGACAGACAGACGGACGAACCCATTTTAATAGTCCCCTGCTTTCTTCGAAAGGCGGGGGACAATTATGAAAAAAATTGTGATTGGAGAGTAGTCTCGGTCACCCAGAACCTCCTAGTCTTCAATATTTGACGTCAAGTCCATTGCCCATTCGTAACCGGGAGTTTGGTTTTTAATGTGGTTGATTATCCAGTATCTTTTGCAAACTCAAGTAAGAATTGCGCCCCTTCCCATAATAAATCCCATAATTCTTGGATTAATATAAACAAACATGCATCGTACGTGACGACGAATTAGGATTAATTTTAAAAAGAGAGAAATTTAACAATAAAAAAATTAAGAGTGTTTGATGCTGAACTGGCATGCAATCAAATGGATTTTTTGAAATGACATTCTTAAATCAATTTCATGGGCGTAAACATCTTGTTTTAAGAGGAGTTACATGCCTTAGACGTTGTTTATGATAATGCAAAAGACCGGATCATCTAGCCAATGACCTATTAGTCTCAAATGTTGACAACGCATCCAGACTAATATTCGTAGAATATTTTTCTGGGTGATAGAGACTAATTGGAGAGTGTAATCAAGAAAGTAAACACCACAGCCCAGCTTAAAAGAGTGGGACCCTGGGCATAACACAGAATTAAACGGTATGCAAGAAGAAATTACATAATATCTGATCAAATAGAAATGTTCATTTGGAATTTAATATAGTTTTTTTTCTCTTTTTGCCATCAACCCAATAAACCAGGGGGCCTTGTACCTTGGCCCATGTTTAAGCTGGGATTGTAGTGAACACATATGATTGATCGACAATGTACTAAAAGACTCTTTTACAAAATCTTTAAATAATACATTATATAAAAGTCTCACACAGACACCAGATACGAATACTATCTTATTCGAGAGCTAGACGACACAATTGCTGGACTGGGCTGTGTGGGAACGGTTTCTCTGCTATTGTAACCCTGTAGACGGCACATTTGAAAAGCAGTGCCCGGGTCTAAAACATTGGGATGGATATTCCTGCAATTTGGTATTAATTTTGTCGAAAAAAGCGAGCCGTCCAGATTGAATGACAATCGCTAGCACATGGTTTAATCCAGTCTAAATCGATTTGACATTTGATTTAAGCACTGACGATTAGACAAGTTCATGAGGGCTCGTCATAACAAAACGACACCATAACCATAGAATGAATACCCGTTGGCTGGACTGGTTTTAATATTGGTCAATTTGTTTTAAATATTTGAAATCAGCGGCTCATGGTTTCACGGTGAAATAACCACATGACTATTGATTGGAATAGACCAATACTTCGTGTTTGTACAATGTCTAAGACTCTGGATAAGATTTGGTTAGAATATTGCGCACTTTAAGATACATTATGGGAGATTAGATAAAGAGCTGGTAGTTCTCACTATAGTAGTTAAAAACTAGATACTGTAAGGAGAATTTGCTGAAAATTTAACCTAATCCAATAAACATCGCAGGCTAGCGATGCCATCGAGAGTTGATTATGATCTGGATAAGTTAATTAATGTCTAATTAATAATTGATATAACATTTTTGACCTAA